ATGAAGCTTAGTACTGATCCGCATCATGCTGGGAGGCTCCGAAGTTGACTAAGCTATACTCAGGCTCTTTGATGGAGCTACCAAATTCTTGATCCTCAGGTTATTTTCTATGGTTTTCCTATCCTATTAGCCACTGTATTATGTCTTTCATAAAATGACAGTGTTAAACTTCAAGAATGAGCTCAATCTTCAGCTAATAGACCTTACATCATCGGCATCATGCAAAGTTTTTTTTTTAGAAAAAAAGTTTTATTCATTTGCACACCTCACCAGTCACTTGCACATAAAATACAGCTACAGTTACGTAAGCAAATACAATACAATGTTTACATAGGAAGACAAAATGATTCTTGTTGGGAGGTTTTGTGTTGTACAAACAATAAAACCAAAATTAAGTTAATTCGTTTTTATTTAAAGCGGGCCATTTCATAGCATGTGTTGCAAATATAAAGGATTTCATTTTGTTTAAAGGATATTTACACACATTTCTTTACATGGATAAGTCCCCACCAAGGCAGTTCTTTGGTTTTACCATAACTCTAGATTTTCCCGGCAGCACCACCTGCTGGTCAAGTCTAGTATATTATTTATTATAGATAAAAGGAATTTATTGATAAAGAAGTGGTGTGCTAAAAGTTGTACACCAGGTCCTTGCACGCCACTTTTGGGAGAAATCGTTTTCCAAAAGACTTAAAACCTATTAAAGCAGCTAAATGGTGTTAGCTGGTCTATAAGTTTTATTTTGTGACAAATGGCACGCATATTACATGCAATAGGGTAACCACTACTGTAGTGGACTATTAGCCAAGCTACCGATACTAGTATCAGTATCGGTGCCGAGTATTTGGGCGAGTATGTGCTCCGATGCCTAGCCCCATACTTTCGGTATCAGAAAGCCGGGCAGCATGTCATTACACGTTGCCCGGCTTCCTGATTGGCCCCATGCTCTCTCATCACTTGTGGTAACAATGTTCTCTACTTTACCATTTCCATTACAATGTACAAGTCTGGCACCAACTCTTCTAAATTCTCTTTATTAAATTCATTGAAAACAAAAAACAGCAGACATAACCCTCAGTGAAAACCACATGTCAAACTGTCAGTAGATACAGAGATATGATAGGCAAATGTTTACAATGTGACACAATAACATGCAGTGCTTATTATCTGAAATGTAAACATTATTGTGTGTAACAAAGAACCATTACAATCTGCAGAACACATGCCAAAATAGTCTCTAAATACAACTGTGATGCACCACCAAGTGCTTTCAACAACCATGAATATCTCCTCCAGTGTCCACTCATTGATTACTACAAAGTGTGTTACAAACACCCTTCAACCGATTAAATCAAACTGAACAAATGGTAGGACCTCTTGGAGAAAGCTTTTAATCTGATGGGACCAATATGGAGACTCACGCCAGCTGGAAAGTTGCATCATACAGTAAGATGTTATCAAATGATCTCTCCCCTCCACCTACCTAGGCATATCACTGAACAATCAGAGGTCTGATAACAAACTCAATTTGTAAAGCTGGCCATTCACTGGTAGATTTTTGTATGGACATTCATATGAAGAATCTGGTCAGGACACTCCATGGATGCCATCAGAGACTTGATGAATATCATTTGAAATGTTTTCCTGAAGAGAACTATGGCCACAAAAAGGTTAGGCCCTAGTTCTCTATTAAAGATAACAGCAGCCCGCTGTAGCAAAGTGCTGGAATACACAGTGATGACTTGTAACACAAACAAAGAGGGAAATAAGGTGCTGGATACAGATTATAAATGGACCAATCACATGATCACTGAGCACACCAGCTTCAAAAAACACAACCACAAATTATATTCAGCAATAGAGTTACAATTCTCCGCTGCTAACATGAATAGGTTAAATCATGATCCATAGTACAGAACATGTGGTTGTATTATGGATCATTTAAAGTTCCTGTCCCTTCAAGAAAAAGTATCGGTAATTGGTATCGGCAAGTACATGAGGGGAAGTACTTGTACTTGGGTCTGAAAAAGTGGCATATATATAAGAACAGTCACTTTATTAAATAATTAAAAACCAGTAAAATTATTTAAAATCAATATACAATTCCTAATAGATGGCCACAAAATCCATGTCACCATTCCTAATAGTAATACCTCCTGGACCTATTACATCAACACTTAATCATTCAAAATTAAAGAATATTACATGTAATTGACTTTGTCATAAATATATATGTAATGGTCCATTCCCCGACATGTTTCACAGTCTGTGCTTCTTCAGGAGGATGAGGCAACAAAGGAGAACTATGGGGTTAAGGCTTTTCCACATAGTTCTCCTTAGGGTAACGGGAGGACACAAACTAGCGTCCTCCCGTCACCCTAAGCTCAGTATACCGCGAGCTACAGCTCGCGGTATACTGAGACGCCACAGTGTACCGCGATACTGAGACGCCGCAGCTGAAGCGGATCCCGACAATTATGTCTGGTTCCGCCCAGCTGCGTGAGTGACAGCTGGTTCTGCCTATCTAGAGGCAGAGCCAGCTGTACCCACACCCTCCCCGGTCCGATCCTTTAAGTTGGGAATGTTAGCCAAAATTACAAAACAATTTGTCAGTTGATCATCACCAACAGTTTGCCATCAAACAGGGGACATCAGGAGGACACCCATAAGGGGATATGCAGGAGAGGTTGCCCAATTAGATATCTGCATAGATGTAAGAGCCAAGAATACTAGCCTCAGTTACTCCCCTAGTCTCATACTATGACCACATATCATCTCCCAAAGTGTTCTCCTGTCCTAGATGCTCCTCCATCCATCCTACATGCATCCGCACACTGGCTTTAGTTCATCAGCACTCCCCAAACGGGGACACCACTTTAAAAAAGGGCAGGAGAGCCAGACTTGAGAATCCACATATATGCAGTTCAATAAGAGTGATTTTTTTAAATGACAAAATTAGGAAAAACTTCAAACAAGTTCAATTGCTGTGGTGGGATGGCTTTCATACACCGAAGCTTCCCTCAATGGGCAACTAATAGTAACCCAAACCAAAGAAATACAGAAAGGAGGGCCACATAAAAACAGCCAATGCATTTCTGGGGACAACCACTCCCCCTTTATAAAACAAACATTTCGATGGATTATGTATCTGTTGTTGTGGCCCTGATGAAGGTAGAGGGGTTTAGACCCTGAAACGCATTGGCGTTTTTTATGTAACCAATTTATCAACAATTCTTAGACTCTTTCACAAGACAAATGCCTCATTTCCACAGGGGAAAGAGGTCCGGCTGCAGATTCCTCATTCAATGTGAAGACAAATATAAATAAAGGCACATGATATAAAAAAACATAGTTCATATATTATGAAGTATTAACAGCACAGTAATCAGAATGCAATATTTGTCACAACGCTAATCCTTTAGCTATGCAGGTCATTACAGGACTAGGCCTCATGCACATGGAGGTAAACAACGCAGCACTCTGTACAGCGGAGAGTTTGTTTTACAGATCAGAAGGCAGCAGTATTGTATATTATGGACCCCTGCACACAGCTGCATTGAAGTCATCTTGTGCTGTGTTCAGATGTAGAACATTCAGTATTTGCAGTCAGCAATTTATGGGGGCCGTAGTGTTGGCAGCACATGTGACGGGGGGGCTCAATACCTCTGCATCCCACTCAGCTCCTGGCAAGCAGTGACATCAGTGAGTGGGGCAGGACTCTGGGCAGAGCTTCACAGGTTGCTAAACTCCTAGCAAACTGGGCCGATCGTGCCAGAAAAGGGCGGCATTAGGTAATAATAAGTACGATTTTCCCTGAACAAAAATCACATTCACTATTAGAATTTAGTTGCTTCAGATAAGGAATGAGAAAAAAAAAATGTCCATTCTGCTCCTTTAATTCTTCTCATCACTATAGACAAAAACAGACATCAATTACACCCCACTAACCAATAAAAAATCAAATGAATGGAAATTTTCAGGTGAAACTCTACTGGTGTATGGCCAGCTTGAGGGCAAATTGCTAATCGCACAGCGTCTGGTTTGCGGTGCCTGTCACAGTGCCAAAGTGCTGATCCCAGCGCATTGCACTGTCTACTTTTTTTGGTAGAACTTTATTGAAATTTCACAAGTGACATTTCATTTAGTTCTACGGGGACACAGCGGGGTGCGAGGCTTTGTACCACGTCACATCCCAGAGTTGGAAAAAAAATGAAGGCATGCCTTTTTTTCAGTACACACTACCGCAACACGGTGGTGTGAATGGGCGCCATCCATGACAAGGGAAATTTGTCTGGTGTTGGGCTGTGCTGGAAACAACGGCCAGAGCAGCTCCAACACAATCTGCCCTGACATTGGAAAAATATTCCTCTCATTTCCTGTGGAGTCTGCAGGAAAGGAAGTGATAAGGATGGAAATGAAAACCCGACAACGGTTTAACCTTCCCGTACTCAATCCACAGTGCAAAAGGTTCTGGCTTTAGGTTCCAATCACGTTTGTCGCACAAGCAGCATGTTTGCGCTTCTTGCCACGAGTCTGCACAGGGCACACCATTCATTTCAATGGACTGCCCTATGCGCAACCAACAAGCTCATGCAGTTGCAAACGTCAAACCGTGCAGCTTTCTTGCGTAGTGTCCCATGAACACGCACAACACAAGTGAATGAGGCCTCAAATACACTGTAATGTAAATAAAGTGCTGATGTGAAGTCACGGAGCACACTATCACTGGCTGATGACACATCTACTCATACTGATCGATACTTCAGGGAATCTGGCTCCAAAACTAAAGCAGTCTGGAGACAAGTGCACATGTCACTAAATCTTCCATTCCTGTAAGTCTGATCACCGCTAATCGCAGAAAGCATACAGTACAGAACGGCAGCTTCGGCTTCACATTACACAGAGCACAAGTCTCTTCCAAGCCGGAGCACACACATCACAGCCGTCACAGCACGCAGCCAATGTGTCACTTCCGCTCCCACTAATACAAATCAACTTACAGAGTCACCTTCCAGGGGGGACACACTGCCTGCAGGAACGCCATCTTCCGCCGACTCAGGGGGCGGGGCCGCGGGAGGAGCTGACCGGGGACTTGCACACCTCCGGGGTATAATGAACGCAGATAGGCCGGGGACCTGCAGACCTCCGGAGTCTAATGAGGGCGGACGGTGAGGTTGAGGACTCTAATGAGAGCAGATAGTGAGTCCTGGGTCCCGCAGTCTGAGTATAATGAGGGAACATATTAAGGTGGGGGTCCTGCACACCTCTGAGGTATAGTGAGGGCAGATATTTAGGTGGGGGTCCCGCACACCTCTGAGGTATAGTGAGGGCAGATATTTAGGTGGGGGTCCCGCACACCTCTGAGGTATAGTGAGGGCAGATATTAAGGTGGGGGTCCCGCAAACCTCTGAGGTATAGTGAGGGCAGATATTAAGGTGGGGGTCCTGCACACCCCTGAGGTATAGTGAGGGCAGATATTAAGGTGGGGGTCCCGCACACCTCCTGAGGTATAGTGAAGGCAGATATTAACCACTTGCTATCCGGAGCTTTTTCTTACTATTTGCGCAGACATGATGAAATATACATTTTTGGCTAGAAAACGGCTTCAAACCCCCAAAGAATGATATATGTTCTGAAAGCAGAGGCCCTTCAGAATAAAAAGATACTAGTTGCATTTTTTTATGTCGCACGTTTTTTGCATAAATGTTTATCAAACTAGTATTTTTAGGAAAAAATAAACTTAATTTACATTTAGTACACAGAAACATAATATAATAGCCAATCTTTTTGTAAAATATGAAAGACGGTATCATGCCAGGTAAATAGATACCAAACATGTCAAGCCTTAAAATTGCGTTCACCTGTGAAGCCGCAAAAAAAGTCAATATCCCAAATTTCCCATAGGGAACACTTTAAACGCTTTTACCGCTCATCAGTTTAGTGCTAACAGTGATTGATGGCCCTAAAATTATTGCTCTCACTCCAACGTTCGCGGCAATATGTAGCGTGTAGCGCAATTGTTGTTTTTGCATGTGTATGTGGGGGGCGGGGGACTTTGAATTATTTTTTTGCATTTTTTTAATTTTTCTTGTATGTTAATTTCATTTTTTTAATTTTTAAACTCCTTTTTTTTTTTTGCACTCACCTTATTGCTATCACATATCACCCCCTATGTAATAGCAAATAGGACATGACAGGTCCTCTTTATGGAGACATCACATCCCTAATGTCACCTAGGGACCCAAAGAAGCTGAGGAAGCAGAGATCTGTACCCCAGCTTCTTCTCCTGACTGTAAGAGTCTGAGATATAGTGAGGACAGATACTAAGGTGGGGGTCCCACACCCCTCTGAGTATAATGAAGGTAGATACTAAGGTCGGGACCCACACCCCTCTGAGATATAGTGAGGGCAGATACTAAGGTGGGGGTCCCACACCCCTCTGAGATATGAGGGCAGATACTGAGGTGGGGGTCCCACACACCTCTGAGTGTAATGAAGGTAGATACTAAGGTCGGGACCCACACCCCTCTGAGATATAGTGAGGGCACATACTAAGGTGGGGGTCCCACACCCCTCTGAGATATAGTGAGGGCAGATACTAAGGTGGGGGTCCCACACCCCTCTGAGATATGAGGGCAGACATTAAGGTGGGGGACCCACACCCCTCTGAGATATAATGAGGGCAGATACTAAGATCGGGACCCACACCCCTCTGAGATATAATGAGGGCAGATACTAAGGTGGGGGTCCCACACCCCTCTGAGATATAATGAGGGCAGATACTAAGGTGGGGGTCCCACACACCTCTGAGTGTAATGAAGGTAGATACTAAGGTCGGGACCCACACCCCTCTGAGATATAGTGAGGGCAGATACTAAGGTGGGGGTTCCTCACCCCTCTGAGATATAATGAGGGCAGATATTAAGGTGGGGGTCCCACACACCTCTGAGTGTAATGAAGGTAGATACTAAGGTCGGGACCCACACCCCTCTGAGATATAGTGAGGGCAGATACTAAGGTGGGGGTTCCTCACCCCTCTGAGATATAATGAGGGCAGATATTAAGGTGGGGGACCCACACCCCTCTGAGATATAATGAGGGCAGATACTAAGGTGGGGGTCCCGCATACCTCTGAGGTTTAATGAGGGCAGATACTAAGGTGGGGGTTCTGCACACCTCCGAGGTGTAATGAGGGCAGAGAGGCCGAGGACCTGTACACCTTTAAGGTCTAATTACAGTGTACAGTGAGGGCAGATAGTGAGACCGGGGACCTAAACACCTCCAGGGTCTAATGAGGGCAGATGGTGAAGCCGGGGTCCCACACACACCCAGGGTATGAAATCTGCTGTAGGTAAAGGAAGTTTGTCTGAGGCTCTGTTGAGCTGTGTAGTAGCCCATGCTGGGGCATGTAGTCCCATAGCCCGTGCTGTAAAACCATTTTATATGCTATGTATATGGTGAGGTGTCCAATAAAAAAACAGTCCCAGCCGTGACATCATTCCTGTTTCTGTTGGTTAGCAGTGTCGTCATGACAGAGGAGAGTGCTTAGAATGATTGTGCTGAATTGCAAAGATGGATTTATCAAATCAGCGCGCCATAACGGCTGTAGTGATCGCATATCTGATTCTCAAGAGAAGAAGAAAGCAGAAGCGAAGGTTATGGGTCCATCCTGTGATTGCGAGCCGACAAGAACAAGGCCATTTCTGGTCCATGTATAACGATCTCCGTGGGCATGAAGATACATTTTTTGAGTACACCCGCATGTCCATTAAAAGGTGAGTTCTCATGCTCAGGGTCACTTGATGTTGTGGGTTTGTGACCTTGCATGTGCATCATTCTATCTTGAGTGAGGCACGTTGTGTGACAGTCAGTGCAATTTATCCTAAGTGGAGCAGACTGAATATGGAGTAGTTGCCCATAGCAACCAGTAAGCATCTGTTTATGGGTTTTTTTCCGTTAATCTTGGAAAATGAGAAGGGAGGATTGTTTTCCCACCGCCAAATGCTCCCGATTCTGTTTGCTCCGGTTAGGATAAATTCCCTCCCATTGTGTGTTGTCTTGACCCACTAATAGGCACATTTATTTATTTTCCTCCAGTTTTGATGAGCTGCTGGGGATACTGTCCAGGCATATAGAGCGTCAGGACACCTTTTGTCGGCAGAGTATTCCAGCCGTTGAAAGACTCCTCATCACTTTGCGGTAAGTAGATATTATTAGGATTCTGCCACCATGGGGGCATAGTTCACAATGGTACGTTCTTGTTTATTAAACTTTTTTTTTATTATTTTTAAATTTCAAAATAGGAATATCAACCTTAAACCCAAAACATCAAAACAACCATAAAGGGGGGGAGCCGGGTCCATGAGTTACTATCTCTTCGCTCATTCCCTGGGTGGAAGACCCAGTGGAAATTGTGATGGGGGACAGAGTATGTGGCAGGCTGGGCGTGTGGTAGTAAGGAGAAGTAGTGCGGAGGGGCCAGTTGTGGGATTGGATATGTATGGGTAGTTGGGCATGGATTTGGGAAGGGAAGATGGGCATGGGTGGTATTGGTGAAGGCGGACAAGATTGTATGGGGGCATATTGGATGGGGTGGTTGGTTGAGGGGGTGCTGTGTGGGAAAGGGCTCCACCATCGGGAATGAACAACAAGATACAGTTGATGAGTGCCATTCTATGTTCACACTGACTTTCTTTTGGCTCATTTTCCATGATATTTTTCAGGCTCCGGAGTGTGGCTGCTTAGTGTGCCATGTATGCTTAGTGTGCCATGCTTTTCCGCATTGGGCATAAGGCACTCCTTGTCACTGTCATCTGACAAAGAGGGCCTAGTGCTGGATGAAGTGGTTGGTATGGTTGTGGTGGGAATGTGGCCTCCACAGGGGCTGTTTGTGGGCCATCGGTGGAGGTTGATGGGATCACCTCTCGCTCTTAGTGATATTAACCCTTTAGTGACACAGCTTCAGAAATGTTTTTAGTTCCTGGGGACCGGAGCAATTTTGAAATTTTTGCTATGGGTTTGTTTTGCCATAATTTCCATCTTCCTTATTCATTGTGCCTACACATATTATATACTGGGGTTTTTTACAAATTTTTAAACACATTTTAGGACAAAATGGGCTTTAATTTGATGTGATGTACTTTTATAAATTCTTTTTTTTTTTTACATTTTTTACAGTTTTGGAAATAATGTGTACATAATTAGTGTAGCTAACAGAAAGTAATTAATAATAAATTATTTTATTTGTCCTGATTTATAGGGTATACCATATGTCTGGGATTTCAGTTTATTTTCAGAGTTATAGGTTATAGAGTGAAATAAAATGTTAGTATGTGGTAGTTTGTTTCATAACTTTAATAGCTTCCTTGGCACTATATTTCCTTATAATTTTTTTATTAAACTTGTTTTTTTTAAACTTGTTTATTTTTAAAACTTTTTTTTTAAAGTGGGGGGCACTAAAGGTTGTTTTTTTTTTTATTTACAGGTGCTTTGGATACTAAGTATTTTGAGGAGATACTGTATTCTCCTCACAGATACTTAGTATAACTTTTGTAACACCCAACCGCCTGGCAGCTCCACAACCCAGTGAGCTGCAAGCCGGCTCAGTGGCTGTAACAGCACTGTGATCACTTTGATTACCTATCACAGTGGTGGGCACTCTAATTTGCTGTTGAGGGTCTGCCTTGGACACCGAGGGACCCTGCAACAGCATGAACTCAATGAGCGCTGATCCCTCCACGGACCAGCACTTTTACCACATGACAGGATTATTCCATCACCGGACTTTAATGAACTGAAAGACCGTGACGGAATAATCCTGTCATCAGTCGGGAGAGGGTCTAAATAATGTGGCGTTCACACTGTAAACAGGGCAGGCTTCACATTTGCAAAGGCAAGAACCACTGATTTTTTTTTCCCCCCTACAATCACAGCTGTGTGCTAATAGCTCAATCCAATTATCCCATGCAAATGCCTTACTGCATGGAAAGGTTTTGTTTTTTACATGCATCAGTTAGCAGGGAATTAGGGACATGATCTTTATTACGTGGTCACTGTGAGTCAAGTGAAGCTCATGTTTTCTAACCACAATATATGTCTGAA